TCTATACTCTCACCAGGGGAGAAAGTAGACATGCTTCTTTCGAGCGAGGAAGGATACCAGCGCTGCACATTTGAGAGCGTGTCTCTCGTGTGTTGTATGCTAATGATATAGCATTATATTGGGTTTGTCTTAAAATAAGCAAAATTTAAAGTATTCTAAAATTGTTAAATAAGTAAATCTGAATTTATAACAAATTTTAAAATTCTAAAAAAAATTTAAAATTTAAATTTTTTAAATTTTAAACATTTAAAAAAATCTAAATTTGAAAATTAACTAATTTTTAAATATGAAACAAATTTTAAAAAAATTAAAGTTCTAAGCAAATTTGGAAATTTTAAACAAATTAACTTTTTTTAAAATATATATATATATATATATTTTTTTTTGGGGGGTAAATCCTAGCCTAACTAGCCTCAAGGTGATCAACCTTGCACAAACATAGCTAGCCAAACCTATCCTGACCTTTCTTAAACTACCCTAATTTACCTTACCTACACCGGTGGCACAGCGGGGACATGATAGCGACATACAAGGTCCTAAAAGGTATATCAAGAAAATGGAAAAAGAAAAGAAGCAGCATTTGAAATGGATAATAGTGGAACGAAGGACCATAGACGGAAGGAATGTGGAAATGAGACGAGTCACTGACGGAATCTACTATCTACGTAGATGTAGTAGACAGTAGATGTCCCGTACGACGTGACAGCTAAAATTATATATCCACCTAAACTCATTCCTATATCTATGTCAAACCTTCTCTTGAAACAATATCCAGCCATTCCACTTTTTTGTATTGTCAACAGCCCTGTTGCCTAACCAGTATTTACCCAGGTCTTTATATCATATATATTGAAGACCGTGTGAGAAGAAACAGAAACACACACAAATCACAATAGCGTGATGCATCAAATGAACAAAATTCTTTTGACCATGTCGTAGCTCAGTCGATTAAGGCAGCGTCGGGGGAACCTCTCGCTCGTAAGTTCGAATCCTCGTCACGTACTGACCGGCCCAAGAACTCCTCCCCCTGAACACGGTAAGATCAATGTGTATCTACGATGTTGTAGACCTGGGTAAATACTGGCCAAATTGTTGTTGTTAAAGATACGTTACCTGGAACGTAAAGTTGCAAGAAGCACGGGCTATGGTGAGCCCGTAGGAGTCAATGGTCTCCCACGCCGTCTTGACTACTTTAGGTTGAAGATATCTTCGTCCTCGTGTGGTGGATGACTGCTGGTACTGTCCATCTCTACTCTGGTCTATCCTAACTTACTCTATGCTATCTTGTCCTAACTTGCTCTATGCTATCCTGCCCTTACTTACTATATGCTATCTTACCCTACCTTTATTTACTTTTATGCTATCCTGTCCTAACTTACTCTATGTTATCCTATCCTAACTTACTCTATGCTATCTTGTCCTAACTTACTCTATGCTATCTTGTCCTAACTTACTCTATGCTATCCTGCCCTAACGTAACCCATTATAATATGCTACGCTACCTTAAACTGACCTAACCTACTCGATGCTACCTTACCCCTAATTAAACCTAATCTAATCTATGGCAACCTACCCTACCCTAACTGAACCTAACCTGCGTTACCCTACCCTAACTGAACCTAACCTGCGTTACCCTACCCTAACTTAACCCGTGCCACTCTACTGTAACCTACCCTACCCTAACCTAACCTACCCTAACCTAACCTACCCTAATTTTTCACTAACTACTACTATACTACTACCACTTCTCCTCCTCCTCCTCTTCCCCCTCCTCTTTCCCCTCCTCTTCCACCTCCTCCTCCTCTTCCCCCCCTCCCCCTCCTCCTCCTCCAGTGAGGGGTGAGGAGTGAGGGGTGAGGGGTGAGGAGTGAGGGGTGAGGAGTGAGGAGTGAGGAGTGAGGGGTGAGGACAGTGAGGGGTGAGGACAGTGAGGGGTGAGGACAGTGACGGTGAGGGTGAGGGGTGAGGACAGTGAGGGGTGAGGACAGTGAGGGGTGAGGACAGTGAGGGGTGAGGAGTGAGGGGTGAGGACAGTGAGGGGTGAGGACAGTGAGGGGTGAGGACAGTGAGGGGTGAGGACAGTGAGGGGTGAGGACAGTGAGGGGTGAGGACAGTGACAGTGAGGGGTGAGGACAGTGAGGGTGAGGAGTGACAGTGAGGGGTGAGGACAGTGAGGGGTGAGGACAGGTGAGGGGTGAGGACAGTGAGGGTGAGGACAGTGAGGGACAGTGAGGGGTGAGGACAGTGAGGGGTGAGGACAGTGAGGGGTGAGGACAGGGGTGAGGAGGGGTGAGGACAGTGACGGGTGAGGACAGTGAGGGGTGAGGACAGTGACGGGTGAGGACAGTGAGGGGTGAGGACAGTGAGGGGTGAGGACAGTGAGGGGTGAGGACAGTGAGGGGTGAGGACAGTGACGGGTGAGGACAGTGAGGGGTGAGGACAGTGAGGGGTGAGGACAGTGAGGGGTGAGGACAGTGACGGGTGAGGACAGTGAGGACAG